CACATAAAGCACTTAGTAATTCTAATTAACCTTAAAATGTAACAAATTTACAGAAAAATTAAATGCTTCAATTGTAACGAGTCATAAAGGGGTATGGAAAAAAAAAACATTAGTTATTAAGTCTTATTCGAATTTTTAAATTGTTGATTTAATTTATCGTTTATTTTCCATAAAGTACGATGTCGTTATTGGTTATTTAAAAAAATGAGAATCATGAAATCAGAACAATAAAAAGGTAAAAATCATTTTAGGATCGAATTAATTTAAGGAAGGGCGAATAAATTGATTGAAATTCGTTAAAACTAGGTAATTTTGAGATGGTATATTAGATGTAATATTAAATACATAAATTAATTTTAAAATTTGTTATTTTAAAGGAAATTATACAGTGTGTGGATCACCGATTTCAACCAAATTTGTTTAGGTGATATTACATTGAAAAAACATATCGCAATGTTCCTATGGGCACTAGGAATCGACAAAAAAAAATATTCCATATAATTCCTAACAAAATAGTTGTTATTTATTTTAGCCTTTGCTTTGTACAGATTTTCAGGTTATTATATATCAATCGATATCCTCTTTTTAAGCAGAATAAGAAAGAAATATTGCTTATTGTATTGTTTGTTTTGGTGTCTAGCCGCAAAACATCCAGGTCATCAGCGCCCGATCAACTAAATAACACTACTTTTATACTTTTCTGATGGTTGGCACAAAAAATAAGAATATTTACTAAAAGAATATTTACTCCCACATTCCTACATCGGTTGTTCCAGAATATGCCCTTTCTGTGGATATCTGCCAAATATAATATTTATTAAAAACTGTTAATGACAGAACAAAACTAGCCGTACTACAAAAAAATAGTTTACAATTGGAAGACTGCTATAGAACCGGAGTACTTCAACCTCAGAAGAAGACCAACCCCTAAGAGGAAGAGATTTCTTTCCCAAACTTTGATAACCAAAAGAATAAAAAAAAACGAGTGAAGATTCAATACGACTTCTCCATGCATTTTATTGTGTCAAATGGCCCCTCTAGAAACCAAAAGAATTTCTCTTTTAATAAAATTTCGTCTACAAAAGCTTATCAGACCAGTTATAGCTCATACGTTTAAATGCTGAACCTTTACCAAATACCAGAAGAAACAAATAATCCTAGCGACGAATTCTTAGTAGGATTCTCGGACTAACCTGCACTCGTAGTATTTGGTGACGGCAAAGAAATAAATAAATCATGACTCGCTATGGCGATGTGAACTCAGTTAAATTTCGGATAATCGAAAAATACTGAATGAACCCGGAACAGATTCCACGAATGTTACAAGAAAAACAAATAGAAAACAGACCTGGGGTGAGACTTCTAACACATAGAGTAGAAAAATAAAAAATGAATTTGCATACGGAAACTTGTAAACCAACATCTCATGCCATGAAGGCAAGGAGGTTAAGATGGACCACATATCAGGAAGCCTTTACACAACAATGAATACCTCAATAGTAGTTAAGAGACGACATGAAAGACCTAAAACCAGATATAGATTGAAACAAAAAAAAAATGCTATAGAACTGCCAGTAGATAACTGGAAAGAAATAGCTCAAGGTAGGCAGAGTAGGCTGGTTAAAGCGGCAAAAGAGGAACGGGGTAGCTCAGTGGGAAAGGCACTGTTTTCTTACCCTCAAGAGTCTAGCAAATGGCAGGTAATAATTTATTCTGTTGTGACGAAAAATGAAATACAAAAAAATAATTAGTTCGTAAAATAATTGTTAGTTTTACCTCGAAAAATAAATTAAGTAATTAGTATTAGTTTTAATAATAAGTATTAGTTTATAATCAGTCCTAGTTTTAAGTATTAATTTTATTTCGGATCGGAGTCAGTGTTACCGCGCGCTCTGTGACAAAACCTCGTACTCAAGCCTCGTACATCCTCGTACGCTTGTTCATTCATAATTTGTACTATTATAAGCCCAGTGTTATTTTTTTTTTTTATAGTAAAATTAGATCAGAATTTTTTATTTTTACCTCCATTCATATATTTTAAGGCTTTTTACATTACTTTTTTTTCAAGTTAATGGGTCAAGAAGTAAAACTACCTTAATAAAATATATAAAAAAGTTTGTATATTTTTATAAACTACTGAAAACGTTATATAAACATTAAAATAGCTAAATAAACTTCTTAAAGTACTCTTCATAAGTATTCATTAGTAGATCCAAGATTTAATTTGGGGGAAGGACTAATTTTTTTTCTTTTTTCTAAAAACAAAACAACTACTTTTATGAAAGGATGTTAGTGGTTCTGGAAGGCCAGTAAAAATTAATTATTGGGGCATTGATGCTTTTAGAGATATCCATTATATTATAAAAAAAATAATAAATTGTGATTTAGTATTTAGCTTACAATTATATCTCGCACAAAATAAATGACGACCACTGAAAAAACACTTTTTTTTTCATTATTTAAGATGGGTTCATTATGAATACTAGTTAATTTTTCAATTAATTACTTTACTCGATTAAAAATCGAAAATAATTTTTTTAAATTACGGTAATAATTTTTAAAAAAGTTTAATTTATCTAGAATTTATTTACAATTGCAGTTTTATGAGGGAAATAATAATTACGAAGGAAGAATATATATGGATTATACTTTCTCGTATTTTATTTTATGCTCGATAAAAATGATGGTAAAAATTTCTGTTTAATTTTCTTTTACAAGACATTTTAAGAAATACATGTTTATAAAAAAAAGTTTTACGAAGGAAATAATGGACATGGTTTCTTATATTTTATTTTATACTAAATAAAATCTAAAATATTTTTTTTTTTAAATTTTAGTTTCTAGAAAATTAAAAAAAAAAAATATATATATACAATCATGGTTTTATGAAGGAAATAATAATCATACCCTAATTAAAGAAGATATAATTGCAATTTATTTGTCTATAAAGCAACAGAAGTTCAGTATTTCATATCAATATAAGTAATAATACAGTCAAAATAACCTTAAAACAATTCTAAACTTCATTCATAAAAATATAACCTTGCATTGCAAACGTCAGCAAAACTTATGTACGAGGTACGAAGCTGATCTATCCTCGTACCTCGTACATTACGTCATAACCTCGTACAAATACGAGGATCCTCGTACAAACGGCAACACTGATCGGAGTAACCAACAGATGATTGGGAGAAAAAACAAAGGACAGTTTAGAGAGAGATGGCGGACTCTCGCGAGTGTTGAGGCACACTAAGGATTTTTGCGCGTGAAATACTTTAGTTTTTTTGGTGTACAGCGGATTTTCTTTCCCTATCCATGAACCTGTGATTATCAGCGACGAGTGCCGCTTGATCTTACAAGTTGGTGGATGAACATTTTCACAGCTTGAGGAGGTAGACTGGGGAGACACTGACGACGCTAGCTGGAATAAGTTCCCGCTTCCTCAGATAACTCAATGTGCCAATTGGACAAAGTTCGGCATTGAGATTTTTTAAATATGTATATATAAGTTTTTATTTCCTATCTATTTTTTTTTTCAAATATTCGTAATTGGTTTATTGTATAGTCTAAGTTAATGTTTAGTTCTACAATAATTTTATATTTTTTTTGGGTGATAATTAAAGCTAATTGTATTTTCTTTGTTTTCTTATTAATCTAATTTCTCCTTCATAATTTTCATTTCCTTTAACAGTTATTTAAATCAATAGAAATAAGTAAATTCATCATTAGTGTCAGCTAGATTTATTTTATTTTTTTTCTGCAGTTTGTTTTCACGTTTTATGTATATATTATATTGTTTTTTTCCAAGGTTTAATAAGAAATTGTAAAACCCTATTCGAGGGATTAGGGAAAATGAATATTAACCGAGTAAGGTTCGATAGGTTATGAGGTTAATTAACATACGTTTTTTAACCCATAGGTTCCGAGTTCGTAGCTCACTCCGCGTCCAAATCTTTTTTTTTTTTTAATTTAAATTTATTTATTTATTTTTTGGTTTTCACTATTTTCCAAATTCAACCAATTAAATAGCGTAGCGGCTGTTAGATAGTTAGTACTAATCAATTGACTCTAGATTATTTTTTTATTTATTTTTTTTACGAACCCTACCGTCTCCACTGAGCATCCGGCAAGTTTGTTGCGGAAACAATTTTTCCAAATTAAAGACCGTAACACTGTCTTTGAGGAGCCGTGGATCGACTCTGGAGTAGGGAGACGCTCCAGGTGCTCACCCAGCCTCACAGCCCAAGTTCTATTAAGTAACCGGTTGATTAAGTGAGTAAGCATAACATGGTTGTGCGTGATATGTTAGTTTTACCTCGAAGAGGGTTAGCTAAAAATAAATTAAGTAATTAGTATTAGTTTTAATAATAAGTGTTAGTTTATAATCAGTCCTAGTTTTAAGTATTAATTTTATTTCAGATCGGCGTAAGCAACAGCTGATTGGGAGAAAAAACAAAGGACAGTTTAGAGAGAGATGGCGGAACCTCGCGAGTGTTGAGGCACGCTAAGGATTTTTGTGTGTGAAATACTTTAGTTTTACGGTATACACCGGATTTTCTTTCCCTATCCATGAACCTGTGATTATCAGCGACGAGTGCCACTTGATCTTACAAGTTGGTGGATGAACATTTTCACAGCTTAAAGAGGTGGACTGGGAAGACACTGATGACGCTAGCTGGAATAAGTTCTCGCTTCCTCAGATTACTCAATGTGCCAATTGGACAAAGTTCGGCATTGAGATTTTGTAAATATGTATATATAAGTTTTTATTTCCTATCTGTTTTTTTTTCTCAAATATTTGTAATTGGTTTATTGTGCTCAATAAACTTGACTTTAGATTTCCACAAAGTTTCACGGGCAATGGATCATAATGGAAAAAAAGCTTGTACTATAAATGGCACTTTAGTTTCATGTTATGAAAGAGACTTTAACGAGCCGGAATGGAGGTGCTTTCGCCTCACAGTTTAGAGACCTCTGCTATAGACAAATAAGAAACTCACTTGTGGCTTCGGCGACCAGCTGAGGGTCGGTGCAGATGAAGTTGTTGATGGAGGGCTGCTGGTTGGGACTGCAGACCTTCTGGATGACCAGGTTGGAGATGGTACCCATGGACAGGGCCATGCAGATGGTGTTGAGGAAGGCGATCTTCATGATCCCCGCCTCCCTCACCTTCTTCAGCAGCTCGGAAGGGCCCAACATCCTGGTCGATCTGTCACCGGCTCACTGAGCTCTCTCTGTCTGCTCACCTCTTATCATACTTCTGATAAGGTGAACTATCAGTCTTGTTAATGATAACCTGCTCAAACAAGGCGTTATCGTATTGCAAGTGATCTCTGTAGTGGTCAGGTAGTCCTTGACTGATTTTTTAAATTTTATGACAGCTAAAAAAAAATAATAAAAAATTATTACATGTGAAAAATCTGGTGCGACATGACCATCGCACATATTTATAAATATATAAAAAAACGCTGCAAATGATTTCACAATGGTTTATTATTTCCAAACATTCATACATCTAAAGTAACATTACCTTCCTAGTTACAAAGAAAAATAAATAAAAGGTGATTCCAATTATTTGACTAACATTTTTTTTTTATCATTAGTAATATGCTAAAAAAATACCATTACTTCAGTAACACCTTCAAAATTTAAAAACCAAACAAAGGATATAACATTTGGAGTAGAACGTATAAAAAAAAACTGGAGACCATATCTTTGCTCCTAATTATCCGATGTTATCAATTTTTTTTTTTTTTTTTTTTTTTGGAAATTCCGTAAAAACATATACAATATCGACAAAAAAGTGTAAACTTTTTGAGTTATTCGGAATTTAATTTTACCATCCTTCGTAACTTTTTATCCAGTTTCTTTTCATTGAAGTATGTTATATAGATAAATTTAAAGGGCGTCGAGAAAATGACTTTAGCGAAGTTTCATTGAAATTGGTACATTCGTTTAGGAGCTACAGTCTATAGCAACGCAGGTTTTTCGGCCGTCATTTTGAAAGTAAAAGGCGGATAGTAATGTCAATGAAGGAGGATCATCCTCGGGTGACCACTGATTTGATATCCAAATTTGAAAAAAATCGGTCCATTTCTTTCGGAGAAAATGCGCGGAAGGCGGACAGACCAAAAAATTTGTATTTGTAAATTCGTTTTTCGAATTCTATTTATCCTGAAACGTAAAACCTCAAATTTTGACAGGAGATTTTAAATTTTGAGTTTTTGAATTTTTCTTCGATTACAATAGTTCATTATTGAACTATTCGGGCCCCAAAATGGTAAAATATAACTATGTTTTACAAAAAAAATACTGGATCCGCTAGTGGCTCAAAGCAATAGATTTCGTCCTATGTATCGGTGCATGTAAACATCCGAGCCTTGGGTTTCGTTAACAGTTGGTAGGCACCCTACTAATATACCTAGTTCAAAAATTCCTTGTTAAAAGTATGGCAATTTCCCCATAAATTGTCTTCTTTACTGGAAGTGCATTTTGGTTTTTATAATTTATGATGCATTATAACTAATTTAATACAATAGTCAATATTTTTTTTCATACTATGCAAAAAAAAGAAAAGAAATTGGTATATAGTATAAATAAAAAGAATGCATAATAACCTAAAACACGGGCAAACAAAAGTAAAAATAAATAACATACATTATGTTTGAAATTATATAAAAAAAATTTTTCTCAACTGCTAGGGTCCTTTGCGACGAACTCTGGGATATATTTCCAATGTAGTATCAACAAACAAAAAAAAAAAAAATCTGGTGCGCGCGGCGCATCACACAACTTTCACTTATCACTCTCTTTTTAGCAGAATCAAGTATTTTAACCCATCTTCCCTCCCCCCTCAAAAAAATGGTAAAATGTAACCCTGTTTTATAGGAAAAAAATATTAAAACATTATATCTTAAAGTATTATTGTTCGTGTAATTACATTTAATACGACTTCAACTATCACTTAACCACTATTTTAAATAGTTAGTTAGTTTATTTTATTTTCTTCCCAAAGTAATTATCGTTATTAATGTGAAAAAAAAACCTAACGGGCTAAATCTCCTTCCCCGAAAACCTTTTGGTTGCTATGGCCTTTCTATCAACAAGTACATATTTTTACTCCCGATTTTATATTAAATTACAATATTTCAATATATTATAATATATTAATACAACAATATATTTTGAGGACATAGCCACGGCTGACATGGCTACCAAGAGGCAACTAAAAAAGAGAGATCTCCTTTTCTGAATCAAGGAAGTAAACAAAAATCGGACGGAGTTGGAGTCATTCCTTCCTCTTAAGCACGAGAAATAACATTATTACATTCATAATAAACCATTATCTAATTCAACAATAACAACACTTCTACTGATTATCGCATTCATAATACGAATAAAGATTTAAATAGAAAAAAAATGAAGAAAACTCACAGAAAACAAAACGTAGACAGTGCTTGCAAGTTTAGATGACCACAGAGACATAACTAAGATTTTCTTACGTAAGAACTGAATCATAAAAATAAAAGGTTGCTATCCTTGAGGACCATTTCACACTCTCTCGTATAGAGTATGTTTCCTTGACACAGCAGGTTTGTTCCGCTCAAGTTTTGACTATCTGAAAGCTGTCAGACGCATGCGCAATTCAGTTATTTCCCGTCCAAAAGATCGTACAGTGCTTTCAGATGAGAGTTTTCTGATAGTCAAAACGTGTGCTAATAGACCAAGGGTCTCTAAATTCCGGTTTGAGGGTCGAATGCGGTCTGCGAAACTCTAAAAATATGAAATTCAGTAAATAACAAGAAGTTACTACAACGTTTAACGCGTTGTTTATCTTAGAAAGCTCATTTCACAATAGAAGTGTCGCTTATAGAACATGTTCATTTGTCTCATCACAAGTCGTCACCCCCGGGACTTGGTAGTAGTGTTGCCCTGATGTCAGACTGAGACGAGTGTTGGTCTTGCAAACTCAGTCTTGGTCTTGGTCTTGCGCAAGTGTCTCGCAATAGTCTTGTAGTTACTTATTAGCTTATTAATATAGAGATATTACTGTAATTTTTTAGATTTAGGAGAAACCTAACTAAGTTAAATACATAAGTATATTGATTATACCAATTATTAACATATAGTAACTAAGATTGTCGAGTATTAGTAACTATTTTACCTAATTTTGTATTAAAAAAATCGATTTTCTTTATCAGTCCTGGTCTTCGTCTTGCAACAGTTAAGCGGGCCTTGATCTTGGTCTCGCAAAGTGCAAGACCAAGACCGATTTTGTGCAACACTACTTGGTGGATTTCTCAAAGTGGTCCGTGGGTTAAAAAGATTAGGCTCCTAAAATAGATTAAATATTACCATATAGGATAAATTCAAGTTCTTGGTGTCGATTTTTCATTCCACAATGTGATGAAGCCCAAATTGCACGAAACAAAGATAGCTATCTTGTAGATATTCAAAGATCGGAAATCAACCAGAAAAACATTAAATAAATTCCTCTTAGTTTTAGAGGAGCGAAATATTTATTTCCCTTCAAGTTCAAAGTGAATAATCGGATGATGGGTATCCGTACCCACTGTCCGCCTAACGGCGGAACAACCCCCATTTTACAAGTTATTCAACTGTTCATTTAACTGTTCTACTCGTTGCTCAAATTATATAACTGTAATTTAGATGTATTTTGTAGTTTAGATTGTATTATTTGCTATCAACATTAAATAAACTGAACTAAAGTTCTGACAAATTTTTAATTTTTTTAACAATCTATACTATATAGGTATATTGTGCCTTATTGTAAATTTATAATTAAGGTTTTTCTTATTGGCAATTTGTAACCATTTAAGGGAAAATTGATTCTTGGGCTAAGAAGTGTGATGTCTTCGTTACGGTCCGTCCTGTTTTGTAAACATAAATTAAAATATGACACTATCACTAAAAACTTCTGTTATATGATAGAGAGAAAATAATATTACCATCTTTGCTTCAATAGTTTTTTTTTTCCACTAACCACAATCCCTTATAAGAATAAAAGAAGTTTTCGGTCATGTGTTTCGAACGAAACTACGAAATTCAGAAACAACTGCTTAATATGTGTTCATTGATTTTTTAATAATAATTATTACGGAATCAGAATTTAGGTCAGGTTCTGTCTAATTTTCGCTTTTACTAACGTATATATGTAATAATGATGTAGAGATGGTTGACCGTTGATATGATATGAGAAGGAGTTAGTTGAGGGTGCGGTCAAATAAATAAAAAAAAATTAAAATATATAAATAATTTTAATTTTTGCCGACGTTTCGACCCACTTTGCAGGTCGTCTTCAGGGCGTTGGATGTGGCACTGCGGGAGGCAGTTGAAACACTGTTGTTTTTGTTTGGAGTGTTTCAACTGCCTCCCGCAGTGCCACATCCAACGCCCTGAAAACGACCTGCAAAGTGGGTCGAAACGTCGGCAAAAATTAAAATTATTTATATATTTATTTATTTGACCGCACCCTCAACTAACTCCTTCTCATATATATGTAATATATAGTAAGGGGTAAGTATTGCGATCGAGAAAATTTTTGAATCTGAGTTTTCAACGGAAATACACATTTTGAGGTAATCTGAGTCGAAATGACCAAGTCCGGAAAAATGGTCTGTGTGTTTGTATGTTAGTAGTCTAGCTCAAAAACGAAAAGTTGTTCGAAACTGATATTACGTATTTAAGATAGGTATATGCCTTAGATGTGACAGCAACGTTTTCCTCAAAATTGGCTAACCGAAAGTGCCACTTTATATCAACGCTGAAACACATTTTTTTTTATTTACCAAGTAATATAACATTCTGTCACATGGTCAATGTTTAAGTGAGCTATATACAAAAAAAGATAAAATAAATAGAAGCAAAATAACAACTAAATAATAATCAATAAGTATATACAATAAATAAAAATAAAATAACTTAAAGATAAGTAAATTAAAAAAAAAAAAACACTATTTACTACCAGGCGAGGGAACTCGTCGAACTTGTCCCTCGAACTTTACTGGAAAAAGCAAGATTCCAGGAGATCTCTGCGCTTCTCTCTCGACCACTCAATGCTGCTGGGTCGATTCTAATGAGTACTAATGCGAACTCTAAAAAATTCTAATGAGGATTAATATTCGATTGGAGGATAATAATTTGTTTTAAAAAATCGAAATAATGATTTATTATACAACAAATTTAGATCATCTGTC